GGCTGTGATGGAGGTGAGCTTCATTCACACAAGTGCGCGCATCGAGGCAGGCTCGTGGTGATGGGACGCATCTGGTAGCCTCCGGCATCCAGCAGCAAACATGCAGGGCCTTCCCGTCCAACACGTGCAACCAATCGAGCGCGTAAATCGACGCGTAGGTCATGCACGCGTACCTGCAGCACCACCGCCGAACGCAGGGGCTGCGCGTGGCGTACCGCCTTTGATGGAATCAAGAATCAAGACTCTTTCCACACTCTCAGCTAGATGGACCTTACAGACAACATGGCTTTGGAGAGAAGGAACAACTAAGGAAGATGGGGGGGCACGCCTGACCATGGTGCAAAAGGAGATGGAAGGGTCTCTGGGAGGCACCACATGTAGCTTACAGGAAGTTAGAGAGCTCTGAAAGTCCTAAGGAAAGCTAAGCGAGGGGGCACAATGTTGATGTAGCCTCGAGATAGTCTGCTACTGCAAGGCTTCTGCAATGTCTGCAGGGTTCCTGAGATGTCTGTGAGGCGTTTTGTGGTGCATGTGGCAGTCTCTGGCAACAAATCCTCCTCAACCAGCACTGACTTGGGCCTTCCAAAGAGGTCTGTAAGCTGGGAAATTTGGTGCCTCTGGCCTCGGGAGCAGTCAGCCTTGCAACCGCTGAACGCACCGCCCTGCAGGAGATATAGTCACAGCTGATCTTCCAAGCACTGCTTGCCCTCACAGCATGCAGATGATTAGCTTGGTCCCTAGCAGTGCAAGGGACTGCCTTCAGCACATCTCTTTGTTGATTCTCAGCTCTCCCTCACAGCATCAATTACAACAACAACGACGTCACAGCAACAAACAGTCCAACTCTGCACCATGGCTCTCAGTTGTTCAATGAGACAGTACAGGTGTATTGACAAGTATTGCCACAACTAGTCTGTCAGACAAGCTCAAGAACAAGACAGGTTTGATTGCAAGGAGGTGGCGCTCTCTCTCTCCTGCCCCCAGAATTTGAGCCTCACCACCACCAAGAGCCCAAAGGTGAGTCACAAGTGGCAGGGGATGTACTTAGGAGGGCATTCACAAGTGAGATTGCAACAAATGGCCAGCACTGAGATCTCTTTCTTGCTCTTGACTCTCCAAGCCCAAGGCCGAAAGCGAGGCCAAGAGCCATCCTGCCATTGTTAAGGCGCGCTTTGTGACACCTCTTCCTCCAAAGGGACAAACAGCTTGCAGCTCTCAAAATTGTCCTGGCCAATGCTTACAAGGAGCTCAGCAATGTCAACCAGATTTGGAAGGCTGGGGCTTTGTTCAGAGAGCTGCTTGGTACTACCAACAAAGCACTGCAAGAGTACAAGCCCAAGCAGATGATGGCAGTTATGAAGGTCTTGCGCGCAAAGAAGCTTGGGGCAGACT